AAACTTCCAAATTCACGCATGCAAAAAAGCTGCTCCAATCGCGCGTTCTTCCATACCGTAGTTGTCTTCGCTGCGGGTGCGCCAGCGTGCCGCGCGATGTCGCGTTGCGATGAGCGAAAAAGTCGCGTTCAGTCCTAAGTACCCACACCCGAGTACCGCCCCAGCAGGGTGAAAATCGTGTCGAGTACGTGGTCGCAGAGGTACGACCCCCCCGAAATCGAGATCCTGGCACGACCCCCTCTAACAGAGCAAATTAATTCAATTAAAATAAATCCTGCAAAACAAATCAAAAAAATTCTGCAAAATAATGCTAAGGACGCTTCATCTTGTCATCTATGCACGTCTTCCATCGCTGCATACTTTTGTGTACATACTGAAATATCGACTCGAGGAAAGAGGCATTAACTTTGTGTGACCTCAAGGCGAGGTTCGTTCAGAAACGCACAGAAATTCCTGAAGACACGGGGTTGCGATTCAATCTTGATTTTTGCTTGAGTATATCAAAACTGCCGGGTGTATCAAAGGCCGATTCACGGCAGAGGCCGGACGCATAGTCGGTCGGACGACAGCAACGACTGCAAGTGTCGCACAGTATTGGGTGCGTATCGATCTGCGGCACTTGCAGTCGTTGCTGTCGTCCGACTGCTGCTGTCGGACGACAGCAACGACTGCAAGTGTCGCAGATCAATACGCAGCTACTATTCCACACTACAGTGGGACTTTCGAAATACGATCACGCGCAGTCACGTGTTGTCTGGGTTTGCATTGGGTGACCGCGTCGCCTTCCATTTGCGACCGCGGTTTATGCGACACCTGCAGGTCGTTGCTGTCGTCCGACAGCAGCAGTCGTTGCTGTCGTCCGACCGACTATGCGTCCGCGGCAGCTGCGGCGCGATTGTCACTGGGTCAGATTTGCCGAAATTTCAAAAAAAAAAAACGTCCGAATCTACACCCTCGATGAAAAGGTTGCATTCCTCCATTTCACAACCTTTGAAGCAGCTTGAGGTAGAGTTAGATAGAGCTGGATTTCGCGTTTCCAACAAGCATCGAAATTGCTCTGGAAGCCTTCCTTGCAGAAAGATAGGGTCTGTCAAATTTCGTCGAGTAAATGTCGAGGAGGCCGAAATTTTCACGCGAGTTTTTGCCACTTCAAGAGCAATATATCTCTTATATTGTAAGATCCTGAAAAAGGGAAGATAGTTTTGGAAAGCGGAAGGTTTGCGCTTCCTGATGGTCTGTTTAGTTTTCTTCTACAGCTTTTTGGTTGAAGAGATAATTGCGTCGAGGATCTATCGAGGTCGGATCCGGCCACCTGGAAATCCGCTCCCTCATTCACCATTGCAAGTGTGACTCGTTGGCAACACTCGGAATGTGTCTAGAACAATATCTTTGAACGCAAACAATAAGAATAGGAGCAATCGTCATCATCCGATTTGGTATTGGTATAAGCCATGCATCCCTCCTCCACTCACAGTTGCAGAATCGATTGAAAGGTGTTATATGATGGGGACCTTCGAACGAAACTGTATTGTAGTAGACATAGTGTGTTGTGCTATTCCTGTAACCTAAAAAACAACTTCATTTGCCCAGCGCTTTTTCTTCACGGTTGTCGTTTTTCCGACAGGGTCCCTAACAACAGCGTCATTCTCAGCGAGGTATTAAGGGAGAAGGAGCGAGTGATAGGCGGAGGAGGTGCCTTTGCAGCGCGTGCGCACATGTGGCAGTCTTCTTTGCGGGGATGCACTTTCATTCTTTGTACTGCCTTCAAATACGCCCTTCTCATGAAGGTGGAGGAATGGAGCGACTGAACCTGCAAAGAAAATTTAATATCATGTTTTTTTTTTCGGATGTTTTCATTTTCTGCTGCGCTATACCCTATTACCTATCTGCACCATGATACCACTTCTGTTACTGACCCCAAGAGTACGACCCCCCATGGACCAGCCCAACAGGTACGACCCCCCTGTCGAGGATTTCCTCGACCGATATTCACCCTGCCCGTTACGTAATACAGCGGTGGAATAGAGCGCGAATCCATATTGAAGCACGGTAATACTCACCTGAATCATTTCTAATGTTGTCCAAATTTTCAGCATTTATTTTTATTTTTTCTTCTTTCTGTGACTGTTTTTCTATTTTATGGTGAATTATTCTTCTTTTTTTATTGCTTTCTGATCTGACACCCACCCACAAATTTGAAGAATACCATATCACGCACTTTCTATAATTGAATTTGAAACGTTTTCTACTTGAGTCGAGACGTAGTTAACCAATCTACTTGCATGTTCATCATTATTTTACTTTATATAGCATTACTATAATTGCATGTATGATGGTTGAAATATTCTGTAGGCGCTTGTATTCAGAGTTTTTCCCCAGCCGTCCTTTACAAGAACGGATGTCACCGAGAAAAGAAGGTGATACACTGGTGTTTGTGCTGGAGCTATGTCAGAAAGTGATTTCTCTCGATGTCACACCTGAAGATGCATTTTTGAAACTGCAGGAATTGAGGGTGAGTCTATATGCACATTTTCTGTTTTTTTTTCTCGTTTTTTGTTGTACTCGGTTACATTTTTCCTTAAATTTCCTCCTGATGTTAGTAGGCGCTGTCGTTTAATGTTTCCATGATGAAGCATGCATTCGTGTCCAAAAGTATGTCGCAGCGTTCTTTCTTTTTCCTTTTACTATTGTTGATCCATATATGTGTAATAGTTTCCTTTTTTTATTCCGCTATATTTGTTTTCTCAGTTACTCTTCAGGTTTCGAACCCACTGCTGCCATCATTGTTGCTAGACGTGTTAGTGGTCATCGAAGGCGATGTCCAGTCTAGTGAAAAGAAAGAAAAGGCTGTTCAGAAGTTCACGGAATTTGTCAACCTGATATGTGATCAGGTATCTATGTTGTTTTTATTTGGACGCGCTAAACCTTCTAAACAGGTGCATAAGGAGTTTGGCGTTCGCATTTGCCGCGATTTGGAGATGTATTTTGCGACTTCCATGCCGTGGCGTTAATTGCGCCCCTACGCAGAATTCTGTGGAGAGCGGTAGAGGGATAGGTCAAAAATGTAGCTCAGAATGGGAGGTTAGGTACAAGCAAGAGATGTACCATTTCTTCAGTGCTCAGGAATTCGACGATCTAGTGTAATAACTAAAGCGAAGTGGTTTTGAATTAATGGTTATCACTCAATGGAAACTGCTTCTTGGCGTTTGTTCACTCCTATAGTTGTGAAAAATTGAAAAGATGTGGAGGGTTGAATTAAATTTTCTCATCGCGAAACTCAGGCGATCCCTCCCCCTTCCCACAGGTTTTATTGTTTTAATTCAGTCAAATTTTAGATTATTCCCGCTGATATTTTGCGCATAGAACTCGACGTGCTCGATGCTTCCTTACCGGCAAACAAACAACAGCTTGTGAGACTAAAAACTCGTTTGTAGTAAGTGGCCAACTCCTGTTTTCTATTTTTTTCTGATAGATTTCCATTCTTTATTATTACATGAATAGCACTTCTTCGCAAACTCGAACCGCCATTGAAGTTTTAATTAGCTCGTAATAACTTCGTATAGCATACATTATACGAAGTTAACCTATTGCGAAGACAACCGAAGGCTACGCCAAGTATCACGGAGCTCATGACGCTGGTGCCGGTCTCCTAAAACGAATGATACTCGGGTATTGTTCTAATAGGTGAATCCACTAGAAGTCATCTCAATTGAATGAGAGAGACATCGCGTGTTACATTTACACCACTTTGCTTGATTTCAGGCCAATTCAATCTGGAACCTAATCGAGTAATTGACATTGCACTGGATCTACGAAGTTGTGTTTCTCACCAAAAGATTTACATACAACTATTAAGAAATAAGAGCCAAATAAGGACTTACCCTCGTACTTGCTTGGTAAATGTCATACATTTTACTTCATGTAAGTAATATCATCATCACTAATCAAGGACAAGTTTTTTTCAAAATAAAAGTGTTCGACAGAAGAAGATTCCGAATTCAAGTATTCCCGACCTTCTGACCCGCTTTTACTTAACCCCAATCGAACGCGTTGCCCGCCAACATGGTGGCGCACGATTATTCTTTTTGTTACGTTTCTAACAATCTTAATATACCCGTATATACTCTCAGCAATGTGGAATAACATATCTTCCCAGGACCTTGGACGAGTGGATTTTTGACAAACCTACAATAAATTTTACATACACTTTGTCCTAATTTCATAAGCTTACTATTTGATGCTTACCACAGATTGTTCCCCTAATTATTAGCCACATCCGCTCGTGGGTTTTTCCGCAATCCATAACTTCAACTCAAGCTCCATTCATTCTTGCATTACCCTATTTGAATCCGCGAAAGGGCGGCTACGAATTCGGTCGCGCCGGAAATCTCTTTCGAATGACGGAGTCTCCGACACCATGCTTACCCCCTCTACCTTCCTGTCGCATAAGCCTACACTAAATAAACCCTACCCTGTGTGGCGGCGTGCGACTGGCCGTCCGTTATGGGTTAAGTGCTTCAGGTGCATTCGTTTTCAGAATCTTCTCTTGCTAGGGGCAATCACACCTCGGTCCTCATGATTGTCTCCTTCTTTCAGTTAGGAGGGGTTTTTCACTGATCCCTATTCTTTAACTTGGCTCACGGCACTCCACTTAAATTTTTTGCAATTTCTTATTTTATATCACCTTTCATATATCGTAAAATGTTTGTCAATTTCACTTAATTATAGGCTGCTGGAAAAGAGACACCCTTCTCTTTGTATGTTGTCACTTCGTCGTTACTTCGCGAAGAAATGATTGATCTCATGAAAATTACTGGATTTGTAAGTAATAGTATCGTCTTGGGTATGGTATTTGGTGCTTGAGTATGGTATTTTGATTCGTATGATTTTAGATGGTACCAAGAGCTGAAGGCATCAAAGAAACCCATCGAGCTAGAGCGGCTAAGGCAGGCGAAAGAGCCAGAAAGGTTAGGATCATGTATCTATCCAACTGTACGTCTATTTCTCTGTGTAATTTTGAAACTGGAACCACCGTTGGTTATCTTAAAATCCTACAATTTTGGAATTGAATTTACATATTTCCGGTGCACGAATTTTGTCGAGACCTCACCGTATATTTTCTTAATATACATGTAGAGGTTTTGTAGGCAGAAACTATCTTGGCGTCAAACATACCCGTGGATGTGTCCCGCAATGCTAACGTCGATGTTATGGATACCGGTCAGTCTATTGTTGGAGTATCATTTGCTACGGTCGCCGCAATTCAAGAAGCCGACGATGCTAAACTTGCTGCAGAGCTAAACGAGGTAATTTCCAGTTCAGAATAGCTCGAGAAATATATTGCCAAAACCTATCCTCTTTTTTGGGCTTTTTTAGGAACTTGTTTTGTCGACAAACCAAAAACTTGGCTTGGTTTGCGCTCTCATAGAGGATGGTGCATGGTCTCTGGCGAAGGTTATAATTGATCGTCTACCTGAGTACTATGCAGTGCAGGCTAGGTAAGGTAATTTTGTTCATGGTGTTTCCTTTGTTGGTAAATTGATGAGTAAAAAATTGTAAATAAGGAGTAACTCACCTATGAGGAAATTGTTTACTGTTGGGGCATATTCGTGTGTCATGTTATTTTAAGGGCGGAGGTGGTGTGGTGACAAGTGGCATGCTTACCACGCGAGCGGTCCGGGGATCAAATCCTGGGTCGTGAGTCGCCCGGGCCAACCAAGCCTTCCATCCCTCCGGGGTCGGTTAATTGGTACCAGACTTGTCTGGGAGGATAAAAACACTGACTTGTACATCGGCTGGCCCCCGCAAGTCATTGTATAGGCCACATCGCATTCAAACGCCACTACGAATGTACAAATGGAAGTAGAATG